CACTGAGAACCAAAGCTATACTACAGGGCTCTGCCAGCACTTTAGACTATAGTTCTTTTTTTTTTTTTTTTGTATCAGAGATTGAACTCAGGGGTACTCAACCACTGAGCCATAACCCCAGCTTGGTTTTGTATTTTATTTAGAGGCAAGATCTCACTAAGTTGCTTAGCACCTTACTTTTGCTAAGGCTGGCTTTGAACTTGCAATCCTCCTGCCTCAGCCTCCTGAGCCACTGGGATTACAGGTGTGCACCACTTTCCCCACCTTAGACTATGGTTCTTGCCCACTCATAATCAAGACCCAAAATTGAAAGACCCACCTTAAACCAATCGTTCAATTCTCAATAAATTTTGACCTTACCATCCCCTCTGAGACACTGCCAAAGTCTTGCCAGATAGTGATTCCCTTTTTCCCAGTAAGCAATAAACTGAGCTTTATCTTATCAACAGCTTGTTTTAGTTATATTTGTAGTGCCAGCTTTTTCTTTTCTTTTCTTTCTTTTTTTTTTTTTTTTTTTTTTGTACTGGGGATTGATCCCAGGGATACTCTACCACTGAGCTACAGCTCCAGCCCCCTTTTTTTGTTTTTTATTTTGAGACAGGGTTTCACGAAGCTACTCAGGGGCTCAGTAAAATGGCTGAGGTTGGCCTCTAAGCTGYGATCTTCCTGCTTCAGCCTTCCGAGTTGCCACCATAACCAGCAACGGAGTACCAACTTTTGGCAGGAGTAATAAAATCCACAGTAACTTGGTGAAATAATGTTTAGTGGAGGAGGGGGTGCATTACACCCGTTAACCTCAGGTAACAGTGCCTTGCCCAGGTATACTGGGCCGGGAGAAAAAGAAACCATCAGTAACAATTATCTTGTCTTCATTCAGCATTTTGATATTTTGTTCATGGTGGGGGTTTTCTTCATTTTGATTGTGGGGCTGGGAATATAGCTGGGAATATATGGTAGAGCACTTGCTTAGTATGCTGGAGGCCCTGGGTTCTATATTGCCAGCAAACACATAAACAAACTGCATTTAAAAATTATTCATCTTTAGTATTGGCTCTAGAGCCTCCTTATAATTTGTATCCAAGGTGAATGCCAGTACTGTACTGCAAAAACTTAAGTATGTCGAAATTTACAAAACCAAATTAGGGAGAGGTAAAGGATTTGTGTAGTGTGCTACATCTTATCATGGCACGACCTCAAAAGGTAACTAAAATAAATGCAGAAATAATTTTTTTTTGGTTGGGGTACTAGGGATTGAACTCAGAGGGACTTGACCACAGACCCACATCCCCAGCCCTATTTTGTATTTTACTTGAAGACAGGGTCTGAGTTGCTTAGTGCTTCACTAAGTTGCTGGGGTTGGCTTTGAACTTGCAATCCTCCTGCCTCAGCCTCCCAAGCTGCGCCTGGCCAGAAATAATTTAAGTATTTAATTTAGTAATCTTTTGAGCAATATTAACTAAAAGTGAAAAGTGGTTGCTTCTGAGGATGGGGAAGTCTTGCTTTTTATTATGAATCCTATGATTTTTKGGGGGGGAGGGGGTGCGGAGTATTGAACCCAGGGCCTTGTGCATTCAAGGCAAGCACTCTACCAACTGAGCTATATCCCCAGCCTGAATCCTATGATTTTTAGGCACATGTGTAGTTACCACTTTTTGACGATGATAGCACAAACAAAAAAGTCTGGATGCCAAGATCTCTAAGAACCGCCCTTCAGTTTAGGGAAACAACAACAAAAACTCTGGCCTGACGGGTGATGCAGACATGTAATCCCAGAGACTGGGAAGGCTGAGGCAGGAGGGTCACAAGTACAAGACCAGCCTCTGAAAGACCCGGTCTCAAAATAAATAAAGGCTGGGGATGTAGCTCAGTTGTAAGAGCGCTCCTGGGTTCACTCTCCAGTGCGGCACACGCGCGCACACACACACACATAAAATCTATCCTCAAAGGCAGGTCTCAAGAGAAGCATGCCTATCTCATAGGGAACCTCCGTAAATCTGCACCCAGACCTCTACAGCCCACGCTGGCCCAAGCACACCATTATTTTATTTTATTTTTTTAGTTCTCGGCGGACACAACATCTTTGTTGGTATGTGGTGCTGAGGATCGAACCCGGGCCGCACGCATGCCAGGCGAGCGCGCTACCGCTTGAGCCACATCCCCAGCCCCAACACCATTATTTTAATAGAACTTTGTTCCCATTCCTTTTTCTCCAGTCTGGGAAGATTCTGGGAAAAACCTAGATCTTCCCCCTACAATTACGCAAAGACCTCCCACACTTTYTCCGCCCATAGGCCCCTGAGTCCCATCCTTCCACTGTTTCCGGGGACGGTTTAGCAAAAGGATCCGGAAGTGCGGGGCAGACGAGTGTCAGAGCGCAGGCGCACACCTCTGTCGTGTTGTCCCGCCCCCTCCCAAATCCCCAGCCAACCTGTTCACGGTGTCCCCGGGCCTCAGGTCCCTATTTCCGCTCCGCGCGATCACGAGACGCGAGAGAGGCGCGATACCGAAAGCACCTGGCTCCCCCTTCACGCCCCGGACAATCTGCTGACCTTCCACCTGCGTCCTCTTGGCCAGGGGTCGGGAGCAGGGGATTCGTCCGCTTTGCGGGCGGTCCCGGCACGGGCGCCCGGGGTCACGCGCAGAGGGCCGTGAGGAAGAAGGGGCGGGCCGGGGCCAGCGGGGCGGGGACTCGCGACGTCCTGGGACTGCTCTTAGAGCCCAGCCGGCGCTAGAGCTGCGGACACTGTCGCTTCTGCCAGCACCACTACTGCCTCGTCTCCGACACCGGCCGACACCATGAACCCGGACCTGCGCAGGGAGCGGGCCGCCGCCACCTTCAACCCCGAGCTGATCACACACATCCTGGACGGCAGCCCCGAGAAAACCCGGCGCCGTCGAGAGATCGGTGAGGGCGGCGGGCCGGCCTCCGTTCTCTCGCAAGCAAGGCTGAGACCCCCTCGAAGAGGAGTCGGTGGCGCTGTGGGGCTTCGGGAGAGCTGAGACTCCCACTTGGAGGGACGGCCCATGACAGGGGTTGGGGGTCTCGCCCTTCCCGAGCTGTGCTCGCGATTCAGACCTGCAGTCAGTGAAGGAGGGTGGATTTCGCTGGGGGCGCGGTGGCGCACGCCTGTAATCCCAGCTACCCGGGAGGCTCAGGCAGGAGGATCGCAAGTTCGAGGGCAGCCTCAGCAATTTAGCAAGACCCGGTCTCAATTTTTTTTCTTTAAAAAGGGCCGTGGTGCTGCTCAGTGTCAGACCGACCTTGGGTTCAATCCCCTGAACCGGGGGCGGGGCTTGGAGAAGAAATGTGTATCTTCCTCTTGATGTCCTTTAACTCCCTTGTAGAGAACCTGATTATGAACGACCCAGACTTCCAGCATGAAGACTATAACTTCCTCACTCGCAGCCAGCGTTACGAGGTGGCTGTCAAGAAGAGTGCTAGCATGGTGAAGAAGCTGAGGGAGTTTGGCATCGCAGATCCTGACGAAATCATGTGGTTTAAAAAGTAGGTATACCTTAGCAGAGGGCAAGAATTGTTAGCCCAGACTTGACAGCTGCGGACACTTTAAGCCTTTTAACATCGTACTTGGCATGTGAAGGCCCACACAGGCATAGTTTCGTGCCTATTGAAAGTTGAACCTGTGGAAAATAATGAGGTTACTTTTGTATCAGCTTTTTAGTGAGATGACATGTTTGTAGAATGCTGGTAATAAAAAGAGAGTTTTCATTCTCAAGAATTCAATCTCAAGAATCTTTATTTTTCAAATTCTTTCACTAGCATCTCAATTTGGAGTGATTTAAATGCAGGAAGAGGTTGCTCTTTCTAAGAAGGAGACCTACTAAATTTCTGAGTTTGGAAAGGTTTTCAGTTGCGAAACCAAATGTTGAAGTATTTTGTAGTAATAGCATTTTATTTTTATAAGATAGTGTAGTTCTTGAGTTTAAAATAATGGGAACTATGAGGATGGAAGAAGAACATTTGTCTAACCTCAGAATGAATTTGAAGTATTCTAAGAACCTAGCATTGTTGAATCTAGTGACAGGTTTAAATGGTTGTCTTGTGCAGAAAAATCTGCCTTGGTCCTAGTGCTGGAGGAGAGTCTATCTTTTTCTCAGACCACCTGTTTTCATTGCACTTGCTTTAGTTTTTTAATTAGATAAAGAAATATGGGGCTGGGGTTGTAGCTCAGTGGTAGAGCACTTACCTTGCATGCATGAGGTCCTGGGTTCCATCCTCAGCACCACATAAAAATAAATAAAATAAAGATTGTGTCCATCTACAACTAAAAAATATATTAAAAAAAGAAAGAAATATGGGGTTTTGGGCTTAACCTAAATTAACACTCCAGTATCAGATTGTTTTGGTCTATAGCATCTCTTACATGTCTCATTTATTTCTGGGCATCTTCTTTTTTAAGTTTCTGTGTTTTAGAGGAACTCCAATATTTTCATCAGTAAAGATTAAATTTGGGGCTGGGAGTGTAGCTCATGGTAGAGGCTTGCCTAGCATATGCACAAGACCCTGGGTTCAATCCACAGCACTGCATAAAAATAAGTGAAAAAGCTGAGTGCAGTGGTGCATACCTGTAATCCCAGTGACTTGGGAGACTGAGGCAGGAGGATTGCAAGTTCAAAGCCAGCCTCCATAATTTGGCGAGGCCATAAGTAGCTTATTGAAACCTTGTCTCAGAATAAAAAAATAACTGGGGGTGCAGCTTAGTAGTTAAGTACCCCTCTGTTCAGTCCCTGGTACCAAAAACTGAATAAGTAAGTTAAATTTTGTGAATGTTGTATTTTCAAGAATGAAGATATACCATCCCCAAAAACCAAAATCCTAACATTTTCTCTGATATGCAGATGCTGATTCATAATGGAGTGGGGGTAAGGAAGAATACAATTACTTTAGATTTCATAATGGGGTGAGGGGAGAGGAGGGGTTATGGGGGATGAATGATAGTAGAATGAATCAAGACATAATTATCCTATGTACATATAAAACTATATGATCAGTGGGATTCTACATCATGTATAACCAGAAGAATGAGAAGTTATACCCTGCTATATATGATGTATCAAAGTGCATTCTGTCATGTATAACTAATTAAAAAATGATTATATATAAAAACATGAAGATATATGAAACATGTTACAAGTTCTACCTTTGTGTAGTAATGCTCCCCTATACTACTTTCTCTAAGGCATTTAGCATCGATTTTCAACTTGGCTTAGTTATTATGAAGACGAAATCACCTACTCTGACCCTTAACACTTTGCCCAGAACTCCATTCAGTTTGTTTTTCAAAATTTTTTATTTTTGGTAACACAAATTGGAGTATTCACCAATTGCCAATTATTCATTTTTGTTTCTGAGGTTTGTGACTCATGGCTGTGAGGATATTGAGGGAGAGTAAATTCTAAATTGTTACCAAATGACCTGAGGCTGAGTTTGTAAACTTTTAAAAATTAGTTAAGATTGTGCACCTCTGTAATCCCAGCTCATGCCTATAATCTCAGAGGCTCAAGAGACTGAGGCAGGAGGACTGCTAGTTTGAGGCCACCCTCAGACTCTGTCTCAAAATAAAAAGGGCAGGAAATGGAGTTCAGTGGTAAAATGCTCCTGGGTTCAATCCCCAGAACCAAAAAAAGAATAGAAATTTGGGGTAGTTTTAGTTTTTTAAGTGGTTGATGCAGCCACTTTCAGAATTGGTGTACATTATAATTTGGTAGTTTGTGGTGTGTAACCAAACATAAGTGAAGTCACAGGAACTAGAATAAAGTTTTTGTGTTGGCTAAAGAGCCTGTGGACTCCAGTCAGCTTTTTTTGTGTATCACTTTTCACCTGAAATATTAAAGTATCAACTTTAACAACCCTTTGGTATCCTCCCAGTGTCCCTAGGCTATGACAGGGAGATCTTAATTAGATTGGAAATTAGTTTTGGCAGTTACTGCCTGAGATCAAATAAGCCAGAGCATATAATCCCATCAATATGATAAACTCAACAGTTGTGACCAATGTTTTGGTTTGCCACTAAAAAAAATGTGAGTGGGGGCTGTGTAGCTCAGTGGCAAAGTGCTTGCCTAGTATGTGTGAAACACTGGGTTTGATCCTTAGTACCACATAAAAACAAAATAAGGGTGTTCTGTCCATGTTGCCAGTTAACTATGACATACCATTAGTTGTGAGATATATTGGATTTCTTAAATGCTAAAATGAGGGGGAGGGCGCTAGAGTTAATGAAATACAGTAATATTTCTGGGGACTTGGGGCACTTATTTGTCTCTTTTACATCCATTTCTCCTATCACAAAATAAAACTTTAAAGAGCCTATTTTGAAGCTGACTTAATATTGGTAAAATACTTTTTTAAGATTTTTCCAATTTCAACAAAGAACTGTTTCCTCTAGGCTTTGCTGCTTGGAGAAATGTTTTACTAGTCTTTCCTGTAACTTTGTCTTTATGTTGTTTGCTATGAAAAGAAAACTGTAAAATATACTTAAGAGTTATTTGAAATTCTAATGAGGATCAGTTTTTTGTTAACTTTCCTAGGTTTTCAAAGCTGGTTTCCAGTGGCTGTGGGTGCAGCCCAGGGGTAGAGTGCGTGCTCAGCATCTGTGAAGGCCTGAGTTCACCCTAGCACCCCAGAAATAAAAATAAAGAATTAATTAAAGCTGACTCCTTAAAAACCATTGTCAGATGGAATTAAACATCATTTAACACAYTCAGTTTTTAAGTTGTTTTTTCAGTACTGAGAATTGAACTCAGGGGTGCTCTGATATTCCCTAGCCCCACCCCCCTTTTTTTTCTATTGTGCTGGGGATGGGACTCGGGGCCTTGTGCATGCTGGGCAAGTACTCTACCTCTATGCTATATCCCCAGCCCCACATTTTGTTCTTGAGTTGAATTTTATTTTATTTTTTAGTTTTTTATTTATTTTTTTTTTTAGAGGGGGGGGGATTTTAATATTTTTTCAGTTTTTGGCGGACACAACATCGTTGTTTGTATGTGGTGCTGAGGATGGAACCTGGGCCTCACGCATGCCAGGCGAGCACGCTACCGCTTGAACCACATCCCCAGCCCTTGAGTTGAATTTTAAATGCCCAGAAACAAAAACATATTTATTAAGAATGAAAATATTTCATAGTTTTATTTTGTATCCCATATTTTTTATTTTCTCGAATTATTTTGCATTAATGTCATTTTTAAATTTTTTAATATATTTTTAGTTGTATCTTTATTTTATTTATCTTTATAAATTTATTTACCTGTATTTATCTTTATTAAATAATATCTTTATTTTATTTATTTATTTTTATGTGGTGGTGAGGATCGAACCCAGGACCTCACACGTGCTAGGCAAGCACTCTACCGCTGAGCCACCACCCCAGCCCCCATTAGTATCATTTTCAGAGTACTTACTAAATTATTTGGCCTTTTTGATTCTCTTATGGAATGTGAGTGCCTTAATAGTTTTACCCAAATTACCATGCCACTTTTTTGTCTTCTCTTTCCTTTTTTTTTTTTTTTGGAACTGAGGATTGAATTCAGGGACATTTTACCATTGAGCCACATCCCCAATCTTTTTATTTAATTTTTTTTGGGGGATAGTGCTGGGGATCTAGCCCAGGGCCTTGTGCATGCAAGGCAAGCACTCTACCAACTGAGCTATAGCCCCAGCCCTATTTTTTTAAATTTTGAGACAAGGTCTTGCTAAGTGCTGAGGCTGGCTTCCCTAGTTGCTGGGATTACAGAGGTGTGCCATCGGTGCCTGGCTCTTCTCTCTTTTTTTCTTGTGGTACTGGGAAGGAACCCAGGGCCTTTCAAGTGCTAAGCATGCATTCTACCATTAAGCTACATCCCCTGCACTTTTTAAATTTTATTTTAAGCTGGGCTTAGTAGGTTGTTCAGGCTGACTTTGAATTTGTTGTAATCCTGTATTGGCTTCCTAAATAGGTAGAATCTCAGGCATGTACCACCATGTCCAGCTACTGCTTTTATTTCTCAGACATTCTATATGTTTGTTTCTTTATATATTTATGAAAGGAAATGGGAAGGGTATAATCACTGGTTGGTTTTAGAGGTAGAATGCTTGAGATGTGGTATATTTTCCGAATTATGGAACTTGCATAATAAAGGAGTAAACTGCTGCTTAACTAGAGTACTTAGAAATAAACTTCCCTGTTCTGCATATTCTTAATCCTCCTATTTTCCTCCAATGTTTGGGCTAAAAGGCATTTTACTAGTTTGGGGCTTTGTTGTTGTTTGTTTTTCTATTTGCTTATTAAGACGTTGGCTAGCCAGTCATTTCTTGGATATTTGGCAGTGTTTATCCCTAGCATTCCTGAAATGTGATTTTCTACCCTAAGCTTATGACTGAGACCATTGGCGCAGAGAAAACATTTTTTACTGATGCTAACCAGCAACCTCTATTCACTTTTACACGACTTTGGGTACATTCCTTCTAGTGGGATCTATAAGAATTATAACAGATGGGCTGGGGATGTGGCT